GTAATTCTGGCTACTGGGAAGGCTGAGGCGACAGGATCGCCGGAGCCCAGCAGGTCGAGGCTGCGGTAGCCGGGAGTGGCCACTGCACTCCAGTCTGGGCGACAGAGTGAGACTCCAACTCAAAAAATAATAATAATAATAATAATAATAATAATAATAAATAAATTAATTAATTAATCATGTAATCTCTCAGGGACTAAAGATTTTTGATTTATTTGTTTGCTTTTTCTTTTTTTTTTTTTGAGATTGAGTCTCACTCTGTTGCCTGGCTGGAGTACAGTGGCACATTCATGACCACCACAGTCTTGACTTGTTAGGCTCAGGTGATCCTTTTGCCTCAGTCTTCCAAGTAGCTGAAACTACAGGTGTACACCACCATGCCCAGCTAATTTTTTTTTAATTGTAGCGACCAGGTATCACCAGGTTGCCCAGGCTGGTCTCAAACCCCTGAACTGAGGCAATCCTCTTGCCTCTGCCTCCCAAAGTGCTAGGATTACAGGCGTGAGGCACCACACCCAGCTTTTTTTTTTTGAGTCAGAGTCTCACTCTGCAGCCCAGGCTGGAGCACAGTGGCACACATAGCTACAAAACCTCCTGAGCTCAGGCGATCATTCTGCCTCAGCCTCCCAAGTAACTGGGACTACAGGTGCACCATGACTGGCTAACTTTTTGATTTATTGTACAGATGAGGTCTCGCCAAGTTGCCCTGGTCTCGAATCCCTGGGCTCAGACAATCCTCTCGTCTCAGCCTCCCAAAGTGCTGGGATTACAGGCATAAGCCACCGCATCCAGCTGCTTTAGTTTAATTATTTATTTATCTACACAGCTTTTATAATTTTCATTACTATTACTTGAGGCTTTACTACTTAGGAACACTTTTTAAATGGCAGAAAGTGCCTTGGTTAATGGCAACTCTTAGTGGACGTGGCACTGCAGAGAGAGAAGCCAAGGAGCAGTGGAGACCTGCCCACCCTGCCAGACACGTGTCCTACCCTTCCGCTTAAGAGACATCAGGGACCGGAAGAACCCTGACGCTGGGCCAGCCCCGCCAGGCAGCTTCAGGTCCACTTCCCCCATCAGCTGGGCCAGCTCCGTCCCAGGTAGATCGATCAGCCTCGTGATATTGCTGACCACCAGCTCGGTGAACACCTCAGGCTTCTCATGTCGGAGTTTCTCCACAAAAAAGTCAGGATTGAAGATAATGGGCTGACCGCGAAGGGAAGAGTCATTGCAGATAACAAAACTGCAGATGGCATCACTGAAAAACAAGAGAAGATCACTGAAGAAGACGATTTTGGAGTGTTTCCCACACCACTCACTGGGCTCTGGGGTGACTGCTTCCTCACAGGGCGGGGGTCATGGAATCAGCCCCCGGCTGCTTGAGCCAGCCACCCTGGAAGTCTGCTCCTGCAGCCAAAAGCCTGGCGAATGGAAGGACTGACGGGTACATAATGAGAATTCAGCTGTGCCCAGGTCCACACATAGGTCTTATTTACAGTCCTTCAGTTCTGGACATCTCAGACCCATTCATCAGCCAAGCCCAATTTTTGCTCATACAGGTTCTCCCTAGAGCCCCTGATCTCGGCTGGTTTCCCACTCTACGTTCCTTGGGCTACATTCCTGGCAAAGCTCCTTTGACTCTCAGGAGCATTTTCTTCCCCATTCTTTGTTTCCCAATGCCTACTACACACCTCTTTTTCTTCTCACTTATTGCTACATTTAAGAGCTGTATTATCGGATCTCTTGTAGCAGATACATGGTTTATATCTATTATCAATTAACTCCAATAGCTTGTTCTAATCATTATATAAACAGTCATCTATTACATAACCAATGAGTAGCCATAACACAAGCCAGAAAAGACAAGGTATCACATTTCAGTCAGGCAAAGCTGAAATTCACCTGACTCAAGTAAACATTCCCCCAATAAAAGCAATCACAACTTAAAAGTGGTCCACTACACCCAAGATACCAAAGCACTGCTCCAGGAAAAATGACAGACCCCTCTGCATATTAAATATAACTAACCTATAATACACTTTGTCAATACTACATGGATAATTTTAATAACAGTACAATGAAAACAAGGCATGGATAAATGTCAAAGTTCATCTCTACTTCCTTGAAATTATTACATAATTTGAATTAATAACCCAAATCATCAGTTGGTGGCCACAAGATTCCTTCTTTTCTCTAAAATGATAATGTATTATGAGAAATCACACAAAAATTTAAAACTATGAATGTGTGTTCTCAAGCCAAAAAGCCACTGAAGAAAGAGAACTTCAAATGCTTGACTCTTCAACCTTTTTACACACTACAGTGGGTTCTTTTTCCTGTACAAACTTAAAGATCCCGATGATTATGATAAAAGCTGATTAGAATCAAAAGCAACTTCATCTTTTTTTTGGAAAGCAGGAATTTATTGAGAGGACAGGAAAGCTCTTGGCACCAGGAGGGGTCCCGAAGGGTTGCCAGCAACTTCATCTTAAATTGACAAGAGCCTCTTTTTTTTTTTTTGAGTTGCAGTCTCACTCCTTTGTCCAGTGTCAACCTGCTGGGCTCCAGTGATCCTTCTGCCTTGGCCTTCCAAGTAGCCGGAACTACATGCGCACACGACCACACCCAGTTATTTTTTATTTTATTGTAGAGATGAGGTCTCTCCAAGTTGCCCGGGCTGGTCTTGAACCCACGGGTTCAGGCAATCCACTCGCCTGGGCCTCCCAAAGTGCTGGGATTACAGGCTGAGTCACCGAGCCCAGCCAAGCCTCATTTTTTTATTATCAGCTTACTTTAGTCAGGAAATAGAAGTCAGCCTAGAACTATTGTTTATTATCACTGCCAATGAGAAATGACCACTCTACTGAGAAGGTCAGAAAATCATGAAATGTGTTGGCACTAAAAAGATTCATTGCTGGGCTCAGTGGCTCAGCCTGTAATCCCCGCCTTTGGGAGGCTGAGGTGAGTGGATTGCCTGAGCCCGCGGGTTCGAGATCCGCCTGGGCAGCGAGACCTCATCTTACAATAAATCAAAAAATCAGCCGGGCGTGGTAGCGCGCGCCTGTAACTCCGGCTACTCGGAAGGCTGAGACGGAAGGATCGCCGGAGTCCAGCAGGTCGAGGCTGCGGTGGCCGGGAGCGGCCACTGCACTCCTGTCTGGGCGAGAGTGAGACTCCAACTCAAAAAAAAAGATTCATATAATTAATTGAGTTGAAGTGAATAATTTTATAGAATTCACATCCATTTTAATTCTTTTAATTCTGTTTGTTAGTGTCCAGAGCAAGACTCTGTTATGATTCTAATACGCTCATTACAGTCGGCCCTGCGAGCACTAAACAGGATCAAATCCTGCACGCGAGTGAGGAAGGAGCCAGAAGCCCGAAGTGCCTAGTCTCATGGATTCTCAGCAAAACCCTTCCTACCTGGCCCGAAACCGCCCCCTCCTAAACACCCCGAACAGGCAGAAGACTCAACAGGTTCAAGGCTGCTCCAAGCGCAAGAAGACACCCTGGAAGTGCTCACGCAAGTAACACGTAGACAGTTGGTCTCTCTTCCCCGTGCTTTTTTCCCCTTGCTTCCATGTTCATTCACTCTTGTGAGACCACCCTTTAACTTCTCTAAGCTAGTTCTTTCTTTTTTCTCTTCCTTACTCTTTTCTGAGTGGGCCACCTGGTAATATCTAAGACAATATCTGAGACAGAAATGGTTTAAAAAAAAAAAGAAGTGAAATGGAAGAGATAGAAAAGACAGTTACAGTGGTTTTTAAAAAATTATCCCTATATCACAAGGTCCACTAATCCCTCTTCAAAGAATACACAATTCTATAATATAAAGCTAAGAGTTTCAAGGAACATGCTTAAGAAATTAAGAAATGTCCAGGACTAAGGAAAAAAAAAACCACATTTAAGCAAAAAGAACTTCCTACTCTACAATATTTTAAAACAAACTCTAAATTTGCCCAATTCAAGAAAATAAATAAATTTCTTACATAAGAGCTGAAAGCTTCTGATGAGGCATTGGTAAATCGAAGAGACAGGAAAAAGCTTTCTCCTTGTTTGTTGTGACAAAGAAACTCTCCTTTCCCTATCCCAGCTCAGCCTACACAAATTCCAGACATGTTAGAGGATACAAGGGCACATTATGGGGCCTGAAAGGCGGTACTTAGGGCTCGGCCACTCATCTGCCAGTAGGAACAAAACAAATAAAAACGGGACCAGTTGATTGCATTTGCCAAAGCACAGACGGAGCTCAGCAGCAGACTCCCATCACCGCTCAAAGTTGTACCGGACGAAACAATCACATATGTGAGCACACGGGGACAAGTAGTTTTGCAATATGCGGGGAGGAGCGATCCCTACCTCACATCATACACAGAAAATAAACTCCAGATAAAGATCTAAATATGAAATGCCAAACTTTTAAAACTTAAGAAAACGGTGCAGAAGAATAAATTAATGAGGCAGAGGGTTACTTTTTTTTTTTTTTGAGTTGTAGTCTCACTCTGTCACCCAGACTGGAGTGCAGTGGCCACTCCTGGCCACTGCAGCCTCGACCTGCTGGATTCCGGCGATCCTTCCGCATCAGCCTTCTGAGTAGCCGGAATCACAGGCGTGTGCTACCACGTCCAGCTGATTTTTTTATTTATTGTAGAGATGAGGTCTCGCCAAGTTGCCCAGGCAGGTCTCGAACCCGTGAGCTCAGGCAATCCGCTCACCTAGGCCTCCCAAAGTGCTGGGATTACAGGCTGAGCCACCGAGCCCGGCCAGCAGAGGGTTTCTTAAATAAGATGTAAAAAAAAAAAGCACAATCCACAAAGAAAAGAATGATACACTTAACCACATTAAAATTAAACTTTTCTGTATGACAAATGACATTATAAACTAAGTTTTTCTTTTTAAATGAAGTCACAATGCCTCTAAAGAGAGAAACTTGATGAAAGGGGAACTGGAGTGGGAGATAAGTTTTTCACTGTATGCTCTTTTGTGTCTTCTGAATATTTTATTCATGTGAACATACTACCCACTCATGATAAACAAATAAAACTAAAACTTTAAAGTAATAATAAAAGACAAACCACAGACTGAAAAAAGATATGTGCCATGCAAATAACTAACAAAGAGTAAGTATTCAGAATTTATCACTAAGCTGGAAAATTAATAAGAAAAAGCTACTCAACTCAGCTGAGGACATGATCAATAATTCACAGACAAAGAGGCCCCAATGACTAATAAACATGAAAGAAATTCACCTTTACAAGTTATCAAAGTAAAACCAATTTAAAAATAGTATCTTTCCCTACCCATAATTTAGGCAAAAACTATCAGATTCAGGTGATAGTTTTTATTCCTAGTTGCTAAGTTGTTTATTTATTTAAAATCATGAGTTAGGACCTGGTGCAGTGGCTCAAGTCTGTAATCCCAGCACTTTGGGAGGCCGAGGCGAGAGGATTGCCTGAGCCCAGGAGTTCAAGACTAGCCTGGGCAACTTGGCAAGACCTCATTTCTACAATAAATAAAAAAATTAGCTGGGCGTGGTGGCACATGCCTGTACTTCCAACTACTTGGAAGGCTAAGGTGAAAGGATCACCTGAGCCCAGGTCAAGTCTTGGTGGCTGTGCCCATGCCACTGCACTCCAGCCTGGGCGACAGAGTGAGACTCCGATTCAAAAAAAATAAAATAAAAATAAAATCATGAGTTGGTATTTAATCAGTTACCTTTTGCACATCTATTGATGATCATATAATTTTTCTCCTTTATTTTGTCAATGTGAATTACACTGATTCATGTTCTAATGTCAAAGCTACCTTGCATTTCTAGAATAAACCCAGTTATGTTTTGATGTATTATCATTTTTATATATTCCTGAATTTGGTTGCTGTAATAGTTTAGGCTTCTTCATAAGCGGGCCTAGAACTTTCCTCTCGTAATGTCTGAAATAGTTTTGTGTCAAGGTTATTCTGCCCTTATAAAGGTAGGTGAAGACTATGTCTTAATTTTCTGTTTTCTGAAAAATATATGAGATAGTGTTATATGAGATGTGTCATTTCCTCTTTAAATAAATGTTTCATAGAATTGACTACTAAAGTCATCTGGATCTACAGGTTTCTTTGTGAGAAGGTTTTTAATTACATATTCAACTTATTATATGTTATAGGACTGACTGTTCACACTTTTCATTTCTTCTTGTGCTTACTTTGGTAAGATGTGTATTTCCAAGAATTTGTCTATTACACATAAACCGTCAAACATTTTTGGCATAACGTGTATAACATCCACATATACATTTTTTTAACATCTTTTTATTTATTTATTTTTTTAGTTGGAATCTCACTCTTGTCACCCAGGCTCGAGTGCAGTGGCACGCTTACGACCACTGCAGCCTCGACCTGCTGAGCTTAGGCGATCCTTCTGCCTCAGCCTTCTAAGTAACTGGAACTACAGACCCACGCCACCACGCCCAGCTAGTTTTTGTGATTTATTGTAGAGACTAGGTCTCACTAAGTTGCCCAGGCTGATTTTGAACCCAGGACTCAGGCAATCCTCTCGCCTCAGCCTCCCAAAGTGCTGGGATTATAGGCTGAGCCACCACGCCTGGCTTCTCTTATATTTTTAAGGTCTTCTAGGTTCTATAGTGATATATTCCTCTTTGTTCCTGATGTTAGTCATTTGTGTTTTCTCTTCTTTTAAATTACAAATATCATTAGGGGTTATCCATTTTATTAGCTTTATCAAGGCTCCAACTTTTGCCCTTGTTGAACCTCTCTATTGCATGTTTATATTTATTTGATTAATTTCTGCTCTTATCTTTATTATTTCCTTTCTTCTACCTTCTTTACTAGATTGAGGACAAAGGTGGCAATGCAAATCAGTGGGCAAGGTATGACCTTTTCACTGAATGGTAGGACATGTGGATAACTCCAAGGGGAAAAACTGAAAACTGACACCTATCTCACGCTATAAACTCCACGTGATCTGTGGATCTAAAGGTGAATGGCGCCGGGTTCGGTGGCTCAGCCTGTCATCCCACGCCTTTGAGAGGCTGAGGTGAGTGGACTGCCTGAGCCCGCGGGTTCGAGACCCGCCTGGACAGGTGAGACCTCATCTCTACAATAAATCAAAAAAATTAGCCGGTATGGTAGCACGCTCCTATAGTTCCAGCTACTCGGAAGGCTGAGGCGGAAGGATCGCCGGAGTACAGCAGGTGGAGGCTGCGGTGGCCAGGAGCGGCCGCTGCACTCCAGTCTGGGCGACAGAGAGACTCCGACTCAAAAAAAAAGGTGAATGGCAAAACAATAAATCTCCTACAAAGTAAGAAAAGAACGTATTCTTGAACTCAGGGCGGGAAAACAATTTTTTTTTTTTTTGAGTTGGAGTTGGGGTCTCACTCTTGTCGCTCAGACTGGAGTGCAGGAACCCCTCCCGGTCACCGCAGCCCCGACCTCCTGGGCTCCGGCAATCCTTCTGCCTCCACCTGGAACTACAGGTGGAACTACAGGTGCGCACTACCCCGTCCAGCTAATTTTTTTGACTTATTGTAGAGATGAGGTCTCGCCAAGTTGCTCAGGCGGGTCTGGAACCCACGGGCTCAGGCAATCCACTCACCTCGGCCTCCCAAAGTGCGGGATTACAGGCTGAGCCACCGAGCCCGGTCGGAAAATAATTTTTAAATAAAATATAAAGGCTGGGCACAGTGGCTCACGCCTATAATTCCAGCACATTGGGAGGCCAAAATGGGAAAACTACTTGAGCCCAGAAGTCTGAGACCAGACTAGGCAACATCAAGAGACCCCGTCTCTACCACAAACCCAAAAAATTAGCCAGGCATGGTGGTGCATGCGCCTGTGGTCCCAGCTACTCAGGAAGCTGAGGCGAAGGATCGCCTGAGCTCAGGAGGTTAAGGCTGCAGTGAGTCATGATCATGCCACTGCACTCCAGCCTAGGTGACAAGTGAGGCTCCGACTCAAAAAAAAAATCAACCATAAAGAAAAAGATTAATGCATTTGGCTTCATTAAAATAAGAAATTGTGGGGCAACCTCTTTCAGGTCTCCTCCCGCTGTGGCAGCTTTTCTTTCTTCTTAATAAATCCTACTTTCAAAAAAATAAAGGAATGTGTTCATCAAAACACACCATTAATCATACGATGGGAAAATACATCTGCACTATATACAATCAAAAAGGCTTGGACCTTAGATACATTAACAATTCCAGGTTGGGCTCAGTGGCTCAGCCTGTAATCCCAGCACTCTGAGAGGCCAAGGTGAGTGGATTGCCTAAGTCCACGGGTTCAAGACCAGCCCAGGAAACTTGGTGAGATCTTGTCTCTACAATAAATCAAAAATTAGCCGGGCGTGGTAGCACACGCCTATAGTTCCAGCTACTTGGAAGGCTGAGGCGGAAGGATCGCCGGAGCCCACCAGGTTGAGGCTGCGGTGGCTGGAAGCGTGTCACTGCACTCCAGTCTGGGCAACAGAGTGAGACTCCAACTCAAAAAAATAAAATAAAATAAAAAACTAGCCGGGTACGGTAGCATGCGCCTGTAGTTCCGGCTACTTGGAAGGCTGAGGCAGATGGATCGCCGGAGCACAGCAGGTCAATGCTGGGGTGGCTATGAGGCTGTGAGTATGCCACTGCACTCCATCCAGCCTGGGCGACAGAGTAAGACTTTGACTCAAAAAAAAAAAAAAAGCAATTCCAGCCAGGCACAATGGCTCATGCCTGTAATCCTAGCACTTTGAGAGACCAAGGAAGGAGGACTGCTTAAGCCTAGGAGCTCAAGATCAGCCTAGGCAACATAGCAAAACCTTGTCTCTACAAAAAAAAAAAATTAAGCTGGGTGCAGTGGTTCACACCTGTAACCCAGCACTTTGGGAGGCTGAGGCAGGAGGATTGCCTGCGTCCAGCGGTTCAAGACCAGATTGGGCAACTTGGCGAGACCTCATGTCTACAATAAATTGTGGTTCCAGCTACTTGTAAGGCCAAGGTAGAAGGATGGCCTGAGCCCAGCAGGTCAAGGCTTCAGTGGCAGTGACCGTACCACTGCACTCCGGCCTGGGCAACAGAGTGAG